CCTACTCTTGGTGTTGTTCTAGACCCGTGCTATTTCGGCCATGCACGTCTATCCCAGTGTAGTGAATGCTCTAGAAATGCTGCCACACATTTCATAGGAAGCGGCCTAACTTCCACATTCACATAGGTGAATCTATCAAGAGTACTCCTGTAGCTTGGTACTCCACTCCAAATTGGAGTATAGATTTCATTAAGAGTTCCTATTAAATCATCCTTGATCGCTTCAGGAAATTATGTCTTTTGAACATATTCAACTCATATCACACCATAACTTGTTATTACCCTTTGAACCTATTTCTTGGGATCTCCAGTTCATAGGTTGGGTTACCATTATGTGTGGTTCATTTCAACGGCAATAGTCCCATTTTCTTAGAGGAAAAATGGACTTTCTCCCTAGCTAATCCTTTCGTCAAAGGATCAGCCAAGTTATTCTCAGTGCGTACGTGATCCACTCTAACAGCTCCGATAGAGAGATATTCTCTCACAGTGTTGTGCTTACGACGTATTTGTCGTCTCTTACCGTTGTAATAACGGTTCTGAACTTTTGCAATAGCCGCGGTACTATCGCAATGGATCAAGACAGCCGGTAATGGCTTTCCCATAGGGGAATTTCACCTAGCAGGCCTCTTAACCAACCTGCTTCTTCACTAGCCGTAGCTAGTGCTATCATTTCTGACTCCATGGTGGACTGAGCCAAAATAGTCTGTTTCTTAGACTTCCAAGATACAGCTCCACCGGCTATAGAAAAAATATATCCACTAGTAGCCTTAGAGTCATCTGATAAGGTGTTCCAGTCAGCATCACTATAGCCTTCTAGTACAGCTGGAAACCTTTCATAATGCAACCCTAGGTTCATGGTCCTCTTAAGGTATCTCATGACCCTTTCAATAGCATGCCAATGCTCATTACCAGGACAACTAGTAAACCTGCCTAATAATCCCACGACATAGGCAATGTCGGGTCTAGTACAATCAGTGGCATACCGAAGGCTGCCAATGATGCTCGCATAATCAGATTGCCTTACGGCATCACCAATGTTCTTAAATAATTTAAAACTGGAGTCATAAGGTGTATTAGCAGGTTTACAGTCAAAGTAACCATATTTCTTTAGGATTTTCTCAATGTAATGAGATTGATCCAAAGAAACTCCATTTTCTGTCCTAGTAATCTTAATTCCAAGGATTACATTAGCCTCTCCTAGGTCTTTCATGACAAACTCAGCATTCAACAATAGCTTTACATCATTCACAGCATGAATGTTCGAGCCAAAAATTAACAAGTCATCCACATATAGACAAATTATAGTGCATATGTCATTCTCAAATTTTACATATATGCATTTGTCACTACCATTTATCTTAAAACCATGTGAGATGACTAAGTTATCAAATTTTTCATGCCATTGTTTAGGTGCTTGTTTGAGACCATAAAGAGATTTATCTAGCTTACATACCAGATGCTCTTTTCCTTGAATAAAAACGAATCCTTCCGGTTGATCCATGTAGATTTCTTCTTCCAATTCACCGTTCAAGAATGCAGTCTTTACATCCATCTGATGTACTACAAGATTAAAAACAGAAGCAAGAGATATTAGTACTCTAATAGATGTTACTCTAGTTACAGGTGAATAGGTATCAAAGAAATCAACATTCTCCCTCTGTCTGTAGCCTTTAGCTACCAAACGGGCTTTGAACTTATCAACGGTCCCATCAACTTTCAGCTTTCTTTTTAGGACCCATTTGCAACCAATTGACTTGCAGCCTGGTGGCAACTCAGTTAGATGCCAAGTTTGATTAGACTCAAGTGAGTCCATTTCATCGTTCACGGCTTCTTGCCATAAATCTGCATCAACTGAGGTTAGAGCTTCTTGGAGGGTAGAAGGATCCTCCTCTACATTAAGAACTACAAAGTCTGGGCCGAAGTCTTTTGCTACTCTAGCCCGCTTGCTCTTTCTTAGTTCGGGTTCAGCATCCAATTCTTGTGAGTTAGACCTGACTTTAGGAATAATAGAGGTGGACGAACCCCCACTATTTCTAGATTTAAAAGGAAACCTGTCCTCATAAAAATCAACATCATTAGATTCAATAATTACACGAGCATTTAAATCAAAGAATCTATATGCCTTACTGTTAATAGCATATCCAATGAATACACATTCATAAGCTCTACTAGCTAATTTAACTCTTTTAGGATCAGGAATTCTAACATATGTTAGACAACCCCAAGTTCTGAAATAAGAAATGTTAGGTCGTTTATTACGAAGTATTTCATAGGGAGAAACCTTACTCTTAGTCTTTGGAATACGGTTTAAGACATAACAAACAGTTAGTAGAATTTCACCCCACCAATGATCAGCAGCACCAGAATATAAGGAAATAGCAACTACTAATTCTGTAAAGGTCCTGTTTTTCCTTTCAGCCTTTCCATTCATTTCTGGGGAATAAGGAGTTGTCCTTTCATGTATGATACCATGTGAATTATAAAATTCTACAAAAGCATCAGTATCATACTCAGTTCCACGATCACTTCGTAATCTTTTTATTTTCTTGTTAAACTGATTCTCAAACTCTGTTATAAACAACTTAAACATTTCAAAAGCATCACTCTTATTTTTCATCAAATAAATACAAGTATAATCAGAACAATCATCAATAAAGGTGATAAAGTATCGTTGTCCATTTCTGGTCAACGTTCCATTTAGTTCACAAATATCCGAATGAATTAAGTCTAATGGTTCTGAGTTTCTAATCACTGATTTATGAGGTGTTTTTGTAATCTTAGCCTGACTACAAGAATCACATTTGTCAAAGTCATTGAGAGAGATATTTGGAATAAGGCCTAAATTGCTCATATTTTTTATGAGTCTTTTGTTCACATGACAAAGTCTAGTATGCCAAACATTGATAGTAGAACACAACATATAAGCGGAATTAGAAATTTTATTAACTTCAACATTCAGTTTAAACATGGCATCAGTAGCATATCCTTTTCCTACAAATATTCCATTCTTAGTTAAAGTAAACAAATCAGAACCTATGGTTTGTATAAAACCAGCCTTATTGAGCAAAAAACCAGAAACTAAATTCTTCCTCATTTCCGGAGTGTGTAACACATCTTTCAGAATGAGAGTCCTGCCAGAAGTAAACTTCAACTCAACATTTCCAACACCAGCAATGTTAGTGGAATGGGAATCACCCAACAGTACTTTCTTATCATCGGTCTTTTCAGTGTATGTTTTAAACATTCGACGATCATAACAGACATGGCGTGTGGCACCAGTGTCTATCCACCACCCATCTGATCCACCAGTAAGGTTGATCTCAGTAATCATAGCCACAAAAGGCTCTTCAATCATGCTAGCCTGCGCAGGCACAGGGTTAGGCATGTTCCTGCACTTTCGTGCCATATGGCCTGGTTTTCCACACCGATAGCACAGAAATTGACCAGTACCATTCTTAGGGGGTTGTGACTGTTGTCTTCCATTGTTCTTTTGAACATTCGGTTTATTGAAGTTATTCTTCCGGTTCTGAGGTTTGAAATTCTTACCAGCAGGTTTAAGTACTGCAGCAGATCGCCTAGGAGCATTATTAGCAGAGATTTGTAAAATCTCTTCCTTTAGATCCTGTTTTCTGGATTCTTCTTCTATACGTAGCCGAGTGATCAAACTCTCTAAGGAGAATTCCTTAGTCTTATGCCTGAGATTATTTTTGAAATCTTTCCAGGAAGGAGGCAGCTTGTCAATAATAACAGCAATTTGAAATTGTTCATCAAGGGCCATACCTTCGGAAATTATCTCATGGGCAATTTTCTGAAGGTCGTGAGACTGCACTTCCACGGACTTATCATCAGTCATCTGGAATTTTAGGTACCTACTGACAGCATACTTTTTGGCACCTGCTTCTTCAGTATCATACTTTTTTTGTAGGGCATCCCACAAATCCTTAGCAGTATTTTCCATATTATAATAGTCATAGAGGTTATCAGACAGACCATTAAGTATATAGTTTTTGCACATGAAATCAGTTTCATTCCAGGTTTCGATTTCACTATTCAAGTAAGCTAATTCATCTTCAGGAGCATTATCAGGAATAAATGGCCGAGGGGTTGTTAAGGCAGAATTAACCTTTTTGACAGTTAAGAAAAATTGCATTTTCTGTTTCCATCTTTTAAAGTGAGCGCCCTCAAAACGAAAGGGCTTGTTAAGGTCAGCAGACATAGTCATTTCTTCGGTAGACATAGTGTTTACGAAGGCAGAAACGACTGTTCTAAAATTGTTATAAACGGAATTGCACAAATAAAATAGTAAGAACAATGTTACCGAGAATAAGACTGAGTCGCGGACTATGTCGCTCTCTTTAGAACATTCGCGGCACTGCCTCAAACTTGTGCAAGCAGCTCGTACCAAACCGGATGCCCCCAGGATAAAACAGTCTTTCACAAGTATAAAATACCGGCGGTTTTGCACCGAACCACCGGACAACGGAACACCAGAAAATCAGAAAGAAACTGCTCGACTGTTTTGAGAGGAAGAGAAAATATATTTTGCAAAGTGGTAGAAAGATTAGCAACGTTTACTGCAATTAGTGTATTCGTTAAGCAAGAATCAAGGCATTAAATCAGTGTAACGGTGCAACGTTTAGCAGTAAAACAGCAACGAGAATCAAGCAATGTAACGGAAAAATTTAAACCAAAACAGTAAAACGTTTTGTAACTGAATATTAATCAAACCGGTAACAAAAATTAAGTTTGTTTAATAACCCAAACCCGACCCAGCCCAGCCCAGCTCGGCGCGCGTGTGTGTGATATATGGTTTACCATATAGGTCCTCCCTCTCCACAAAATGTGGGTAGCCCAAGGGCCACACCCCTTTAGCCCACTCTCTATATTATAAAGAGAGTAAAACTCTCATTTCCCACCAATGTGGGACTTTGAGTTTTTTCACAAAATTCACACACTACACACTTGTTGTTTCAACAGGATGGTTAGAAGTTTAAGACATATATGAGTGACAAAATATTGGTAAGGCATTGTGTCAATAGATTGTGATTCATGGGCAGTAATCATATGTTATTATGTTCATTGTTTTTTCGTGAGTTGGATGCTCAATAATATCATAATTTGCTACATGTCTGCTGTTGCACACTCAAATTTAAAATATTAACTCATCTGCAAAGTTGCTTTAGTTTTTAAGTTCTTTTCTTTTTAAAATAGCCTATGGGCTTATTCCATTTCGTGAAGTTTCTTGAGTAGTCTTGTTGATTAAGGTAAGCCATTTACATATCATATTTGTTTGGTTAATTAGAGGTTTCTTTCTCTTTTGGGTGTGGATGCATTTTGCTTATGTTCTAACCCTTCAAATATTATTAAGGTCTATGTCTCGTTGTTTCTAATCTTAGCTTATAACTTTTTGAGCTTAATTATAATCATTGGTCTATACTTGAAGGCCTTCTGATTTGCGCTACTTTTCATTATAGGAGAGGAAATGGTGTTCGTGGTTGTATAAGCTGTGCTGGAGGAACCACGCATGGGCTTTAACATTGAAGGTTTTCTTCTTCTTAAATCAGATGTTACTGAAACGTTTTGAACTTGGTTGTACGTTTCTTGTCTTATGAAGGGTTCTATTTGTCAGTGAAGGTATCTATGCATATTATTGTGTTTAAATTGATAAATTATATAGAGCATCATACTTGCCTTGTTGTTTCTAGTCTTTATATATGAACCTTGATCTGGTAGAGGGTTGAATTTGGGGTATAAAAAGGCTATTTTTCGATATGAAGCATTAGTTCTGGCTCTTATTTTTTTGGTAATCCATGCTAGTCTTGAAACAATCGACCAAATTGGAGTTTAAGTGAATAGGCATTTACAAGATGAATACTCGAAATTGACTGTGTCATCATTATTGTAGGTATCATCTATGAACACAAATATGCAACAGAGAAGACTTTACACTCAATTTTTTGCTTTGACAGAGTGATTCTGATGGTAAAAGGCTTAAATCAACAGGATCCGAAGATGAAAATCATAAACAGAAAGCTAATAATGAAACAGCTTCTGGAAAAGGAGGTGAACAAAAGAGTAAGCCAGTGTCTGATCCATCGAAGGATTATATTCATGTTCGAGCAAGGAGAGGTCAAGCAAGTGATAGCCATAGCCTTGCTGAAAGGGTATTTGATTTTTCCTTGCTAACTTGTTTTCGCTATTTTTATGCCTTCATCTTTTTTTTGCAAGTCTCTATAGTTGTTTTTAATTTCCAAAAATTATAACCTCACAATACAATTTTATATTATATGATCATTTTAAGGGATTAGATTTTTTTTTTTTTTTTTTTTTTTTTTTTGTATTTATCGTTTTCCTGTAAACCATTTACTGTCAAAGATGTAGGAGTATGATACAGTTGATAAAATATTAGATTGTTTTTTTTCTTTTACTTGTAGGCTAGAAGAGAAAAGATCAGTGAGAGGATGAGAATACTACAAGATTTGGTCCCTAGGTGTAATAAGGTTCGACCATTGCTGCTTCAATTTTTCCATGTATTGCTGTTGTCATTATTGTTATCATCTGAAGGGCTGATAAACTATCATATTGATTTTTGCCATTGACATGAGTATTAATTGGACTGAATTCTCGGTCCACTTTTCTCTTATTACATCTTATCAACTTATCTAGTTACAATGTATATCCTACTAAGATTTTTGGTATTTGGCGGTGTTTTGAGTTTTTCGAATATGTAAGAGGTTCATGATCAATATCCTGATTCCTGACCAAACTTCTGGGTTTCAGGTCATTGGCAAAGCATTGGTACTTGATGAGATCATAAATTATATGCAATCGTTACAGCGTCAAGTTGAGGTGTGTAATTGCTGAAGCTGCTGGTTGTATGTTCTTTCTGTTGCCTTCTAATTGAGCTGTAACGCTAACCCTGAATGCTCGTTGCAGTTTCTCTCGATGAAATTAGAAGCTGTCAATACGAGAACTAGCCCTAGTATTGAAGGATTTCCCTCTAAAGATGTAAGTAAAAAGATTACAAACTTTTGTCTCTACAAAGAATGAACTGTGGCAATACATTTTTTTTCCGTCATCAGATCCTTTTCCCGCTGCTTTGTTAAATATGAAGTATATGATACGTGTAACATTGGAATGTAAGTTTTTCACCAGCTTGCAAGCTTCTGATTAGCCTTAGCTTCAGAAAATTAATCGGCCCTTTCTCTGACTGTGTTCCCCTGCCAATCTGCAATTCAGAATGGCATTTGTCCTTCTTCTGGCATATCCTGGTTTTCATCAGTGTTTTCAAGCTCAAGTTCCCAGTTTAATTATTTTTATGGGGAAAATTAGTGACTGATTCTGCCAAGATACAGTTGGCTTTTGAAGAATACCAAATCAAGTTTTATTCTCCCACCGCCCCTTAAAGGCTTAAAGTTTTCCCCATCCACATTTTTTCACTTTATTAAGAGTTGTGTTGTGTGATTAGGTAGACCATAGATGTAATACCCCGTATTTTTATACATATTATAAATTTAAATAAGTATTTCTTGAAGTATTTAAACAATATGAAATAAATTATTTAGGGTTTCATCAATACAAAAAGAATGATTTTAATTAAAAATATATTTTTTATTTAATAATCTTGAAAATATTGGATTTTATGATTTAAAATATTGGGACACATTATTTTATATTAAATAATTTAAAAAGACAAGTTTTAAAGAAAGTCAAATCCTAATCCGATTAGGAAAGGGATTATTAAGGGAAGTAAGTAGGAGGGCTAAGAGGGAGTATAAATACTCCTCATGTGCCTAGGGAGAAAATTCACCCTAAGGTACGTTCTCTTTCTCCCCTCTTATTTTATTTTTCCTTAATTTTACCCTTCCCCTTTTATTTATTAATTTATTTATTTATTGTTTACACCACCACCACCACCACACACACCGGCCACCACAACCAACCTTTCCCGGTGGTAGCAGCCACCAGGCAGCGTGACAACGGCGGCCAGGTGGTTGCATATTGTGTATTCTCCGTTCGTAATTTTCTTAATCTCGATGTAATCACGATTAAATTCTAACTCGTCCAATTTTTACAAAAAAAATAGTGTTTTTCGTGTGTAAACAGTATTCTAAACAAAACTCACTACCTATGATAATGAGTACCACCCTTTCGTGGCCAAATTCAGCCTCTAAATATGGTTTTCGGGCAGTTTTTGATTTTAACGAAAGATTTATGTTGCTTTTCTTATTTTAATTAAATCTACCCTAAATCTAATTATTGTTTTTGGTTTTGTGATGATTCTTAGGATGTTTAATAACAAGTATTTTAATTATAATTTTTAGATTTTGGTTTTTAATTAAAAAGCCCCAAGATTGGAAACCCTAGGTTTTTAAATTAATGTATATGGATGTAATTTGATTGTAGTTGATTGAAATTATTAAAATTAATGTTTTAAACCAAATTACAGCAATTTTATAAGTTTTAATAATGCTGGAATTTTGTGCTAAAAAAGTATTAATACTTCTTTTATAATTGTGGTTTATAGGAGAATTCCAAGTGAGCGATTTCGTGTAATCGTGGCTATTTTAAGATCATATTCAAGGTATGTTCGCATACTTGGTAAAGTTTAAGTGTATAGAAGCATGCTAGGCTTTGTTAAATTAATTCCAAATAGTATCATGATAGGTGTTGGATGGAATTTGTTGATTGGATTGATGTTGGTGAATGATTGGTGATGTATGATTTATTTATGGTGAATTAGTGATTGGAATTAATTGTATTGGCATGTTGATTATGAACCATACTTTTATTATTGGCATGTTAGAAAGCATGTTTGGTTAAACTGGATGTTTATCTTGGTTTGGATTATGGAAGAGGAATTTTATTATGGTTCATATAGTTTTTATTGATGCTATAAGTATGAGGAATGAGCTATATAAGTGTCTTAGTACACATGGATAAATTATATTGCGGTGTCTATGTGCACTTAAGGTGTTTCTAACACCGAGGGATAGGATTTGCGGTGCCTTATGCACTTAAGGTGTTATTTTAACACCGAGGTAGTTTAAAAAGGATTCCACACTAAAGTTATGTGGTCACTAAATATTTAAGAGTTTAAACTGGTTTGTTTGATTGCTTGAATGAATTGTAATGTTTGGTGTGTTGCGTTTGAGAGTCATCACCAAGTCTAATAATTTGTAAATCACGTAAAGTGAAAGAGATTACACACCAAAACTCTTGGAACATATATACCTTGAGTATGAACATATGGGGGGGTGGTTATGCGACTTTATATTGGACCATAACTCCTACTGGGGGTACAGGACGCTGTACTTTCCATTTTTATTATTTATTATGCGCAGGATCCAGTCACTTCATGTGGCATTTGCCTACCCGTTTAGCTCCCGGTGTAGTTTACCTCAATTTATTTGAGGTAGGTAGTTGGTTGGAAACCAGTTCGATGTGTAATCAAAATTAAATAAATATTAATTATTAGTAGTCGAGTCAAATGATAAATGTTGTGTGCTTGTATACAGGTGCATCGAGGTAAGTTGTATGGTGATAGGATGAAAGCATATTAGTGTGTGTTAATTACGCTTATGTACTCAGCTTTGCTGATTGTGTGTATTGTGTGTTTGTCTGGCCTTGGCCCTACGACAACCCATTTCTAATGGCGAGTAGTGGAGACAAGTAGAGAGAAGCTTTTCAGGTGATGAAGCATAATCATGAAGGGGCATGAGTGAAGAGTGAATCATGCTTAGTTCTCATTAGAATATGATGTGTTTATTGCTTTAATTTATTATTTAATTATGTTGATTGTGAGACTAACGCAAAGAGGTTTTCAAGTGTTTTGGTTTAAGGGCCTACAATGGTTCCAAGTTGTAGGTTGACTTTGTTTGACTTTTACTTTCGTTTGGTTTGACTTTTAAAGTTGACTTTATTTTAAATAGTTTTAAAGGTAGTCTTCCGCTGTGTGTCTTTGATAATTGCCTTAACCGTTTTCACGGTGGCGGTAATGTCTTAGATTTTCCTTTTTCGTATTTTAAAAAGGGCAAAACAGGTATTTTAAAAAGGAGAGGAATTTCTAAGGTGTTACAATAGACTTATGTGGGGTAGTAATTAAAGTAGAGACTGACTGTAGGGATAACATTAACATATAATGGGCCAATAGGGTAATCTTTAAAGGACGGATGGAGCATTTAGACATTAACATATATTTGGCTCTTATTGTAAATGTCTATTCATCTTATAACAGGCTTTGCAAAACCAGGCCAGCAACCAAACAGAGCGTCACAGCAGCTAAAAGAGCACGCAACAGAATAGCAGCTATAGAGCTAGCAACTAATAGAGCAGACAACAAAACAACAACAGCAAAAGTCATAACAACAACGAGCAGAAGCAGAACAACAGTAGCAGTGTAGAAGCAGGACAGCAGTATCAGTGCAGACAGAAGACACACAGCAACCAGAACACCTTGCAACACACTGCATGCAACAGAACAGGCAAGCAGAAGCAGAGACAAGCTAGCAGCATGCAACACAGAAACCAGCAGCCTGAACCAGCACACACCAACCAGAGCCAAAGCAGCCAAAAACAGAAAAAAAAAATGAAAATATGTAACTTTATATATATGTTAGTATTTCTATAACAATTGTAAATGTCTATTCATCTTATAACAGGCTTTGCAAAACCAGGCCAGCAACCAAACAGAGCGTCACAGCAGCTAAAAGAGCACGCAACAGAATAGCAGCTATAGAGCTAGCAACTAATAGAGCAGACAACAAAACAACAACAGCAAAAGTCATAACAACAACGAGCAGAAGCAGAACAACAGTAGCAGTGTAGAAGCAGGACAGCAGTATCAGTGCAGACAGAAGACACACAGCAACCAGAACACCTTGCAACACACTGCATGCAACAGAACAGGCAAGCAGAAGCAGAGACAAGCTAGCAGCATGCAACACAGAAACCAGCAGCCTGAACCAGCACACACCAACCAGAGCCAAAGCAGCCAAAAACAGAAAAAAAAATGAAAATATGTAACTTTATATATATGTTAGTATTTCTATAACAATTTAAGTGAAAAAAAATGAAAAAAAAAAATTATTTTTTGGGGCATTTTTGGCACCGGTTTTGAAATAGAACCGGTGCTAAAAGTTTTTTTTTATTTTTTTAGGCCATTTTTCGCATCAGTTCACAGCAAGAACCGGTGCGTAATCTTTTGGTTTTTAGCATCCCTCATATAAGGACCGGTTCAAAACCGGTGCTAAATGGGGGTTTTGAACCGGTGCCCGTTTGTATCTTTCGCCTAGTGCAGTGTATTATGTCACATATTTTATAGATACAAATCAAGTCATTACAACATAGGCCCTAGACCCATACCAGTTGATGACTACACCACCAATCTATGACTTAATCCCTTAGTAAAAGGATTTGTCAGGTTCTCCGTTCGAACATAGTCTAACGAGACAACCCCATTCACAATAAACTTCCTCACAGACTCGTGCCTGACTATTATGTGCCTTGTAAATGTTGTTCTTACCATTGTAAATGTTGTTCTTAGCAACACATATTGTAGCTTGTGAACCACAATGCATTGATACAGATGGTGTCAGCTTCCCCCACAAGGGAATATCAAGTAAAAGATTTCTCAATCAATCTGCTTCCTTAGTAGCAAGATTTAATACGATGAACTCAGCTTCCATTGTCGATCGAGCTATACAAATCTGTTTTCCAGACTTCCATGAAACTGCACCCCCACTAAGGGAAAAAAACATACCCACTAGTATAACTTGTTTCGTCGCTATCCATTACCCAATTTGCATCACAATACCCTACAAGAACCAAAGGATGACCAACAAAGTTCAATCCTCAAGGCATGGTTCCACAAAGATATCTAAGCATACACCTCAAAGAAACCCAATGTTGCTCACTAGGACAATGAGTATACCGACTAAGTCTACTTACTGCAAAAGCAATATCAGGGTGAGTACAATTCATCAAAAACATCAGACTACCAAATAGGTTTATGACATACATATTTATGCCAAATAGGATCATGTCGTCAACATACATTCATAATATCACACATTGAGCACCAAACATTTTTTAGTACACACATGCATCACTACCATTGACGACAAAACCAAAACCAAGAATTGTATTATGAAAATTTTCATACCATTTCTTTGGAGCTTGTTTCAAGCCATACATGGATTTCTTCAGTCTGCATACCTCATTCTCCACGCCAAGAACAACAAAACCTGGGGGTTGCTCAATGTAGATTTCCTCCTCCAAATATCCATTTAGAAAAGTTGTTTTAACATCCATTTGATGCATAATTGAATTATATGATGAAGCTAAAGAAAACAAAACACGAATAGTTGTAATTTTAGTCACAGGAGAATAAGTATAAAAATAATCAAGACCAAATTTCTGACCCCCTTATCACTAATCTAGCCTTGAACCTTTCCACGATGCCGTTTGTTCTCATTTTTCTCTTGAAAATCCACTTGCACCCGATAGCTCTACTTCCTTTTTGTAAGTCCACGAGCTCCCAAGTCCCATTGGACATTATTGAATCAAGCTCACTGTTCATAGCTTCCTTCTAGAAGTTTGCATCCGCTGAGCTCATAGCTTCTTCGAACATTTTCGGATCTTCATCCACAACCTGTAGACACACCATGATCTCATCTGATCTAGATCATCCTCAAATTCATTAAGATTTCTGAACTCTGCCATAAAAGTTTTTAGGAATTCCGGCCCAAAGCTTGTCTCCACTCTCTGCCTTTTACTCCTCCTAGGTTGAGTAACATTTTCAACCAGGGAAGCATCTTCTGGCTCTGTAGATGAAGGAACTAAAGAAACATCGTTAGTAACTAAGATTTTCTTCAGAGGAAATACCTGTTCGAAGAATTCTGCATCACGGGATTCACTTATAGAGCTATCTTCTAGACTCATAAACCTATAGGCGACACTATTCTCAGCATAACCAATGAACATTGTATCATAGGTCCTTGAACCTATTGTTAAGCGCTTGATTGATGGATAACCCACCTTTTCTAGATACCCCCACACTTTCAAATAACTCGGTTTGGAGCATAACCCTTCCATATCTCATATGGCGTCTTGTCTAACTTCTTGTGAGTCACTCTATTCTGTACATAATTTGCTGATAGAACAACTTCACCCCATAAATTGTCTGGCAACCCGGAACTCAAGAGCATTGCATTCATCATCTCCTTCAAAGTCTTGTTTTTCCTCTCTGCCACACCATTTTGTTGTGGAGTATACAGGGTAGATACTTCATACATGATTCCCTTACTTTCACATAGACCTTTGAGGAAACCAGAGCCATACTCCCCAACCCCTATCAGAACGAACTCTTTTAATTTTTCTATCTAACTGATTTTCTACTTCTGCCTTATACACAAGAAACTTGGATTCAGCTTCATCCTTTGACCTCAAGATACACCCTGCTATACCTCAAACAATCATTAACGAAAGTGATGTAGTAGCGTTTCCCGCCTCTACTTTCCAAGTTCTTAAAATCTGCTAAATCTGTGTGAATTAGCTCAAGTGGTGTGGTCTCTCTCTTTGTGACAATCTTGTAAGGTTTCTTCACAAATTTAGACTTCGCACACACTTCACATTTTTCAAGTCCATTTAATGACATATGTGGGAGCAAATTCAAATTCTTCATATGTTTCAATTTTGTTGCACCAACATGACCTAATCTACTATGCCATAATTTAAAGGACTCAACAATATAATCAGAAGTAGAAGTCTTATTCATTGAAGAAACAATTACAATTTTAAGGACAAATAGGCCTCCACTAAGGTAACCTTTTCCAACATACTCCCCATTACGGGTTAACACAAATTTATTAGCATCAAAAACTAACTTAACTTCTACTTTGTTCAACAACACACCAGAAATTAAGTTCCTACGAAGAGATAAACATACAACACATTGTGAAGAGCCAGTGTCTTCCCTGAATTCAGCTTCAGAACCACCTTACCCTTCCCGAGTACCTCAGAGCTGCTTGAATTACGTACCCATGTAGACTTGTTCACCTTCCTTTGCCTCTTCCACACTAACAAACAAATCTTTGTTAGCACAGAAGTATTTAGATGCACCAATGTCTACAATCCATTCAGTGTTGTTATCAACCAAGTTAACTTCAAAGACCACCGCAGCGATGACATCTTCATCCTCATTCTCAGCCAGATGAGCCTGATTTTTGTTCCTACCATTCGACATCGGATTTTTCTTTTTCTTGTTCTTGCACTGTGAAGCAAAGTGCCCCACTTCACCACATGACCAACACTCGACAGAGTTCTTCTTCACAATCTTTCCCTTAGCTTGGAGACTTCCCTTCTTCTCAAACTGCCCCTTCTTCGCACAATTGTCACCTGTTTCTTGTCAGAGTCGGTATTAGATTCAACAAGGTTAGCTTTAGCTGCTAATTCATTCTTTGGCTTAGAGGAGACATCCTTAAGCCTGTTTGCTTCCTCAATCTTCATATGGCTCACAAGTTCTTCTAGGGTTAAGTCCCTCTTTTTATGCTTGAGATGATTTCGATAATCAGACCATGAATCTGGCAATTTTTCAATCAAAACATTTGCCTCTAGAATTTCACACATCTTCATGCCCTCGGCAAGGATTTTAGTTACTAGATTTTCTTAGACATGGACTTGATCCATGATAAGCTTGGAATCAACCATCTTGAATTTCAACCAATTTCCTGTCACATATTTCTTTTTCCCAGCATCATCAGCCCCATATTTCTTTTCTAGGGCATCCCACATAGCCTTAGCAAATTTGATTTTAACATACAAATCAAAGACATTATTCTTCATCAAATTCAAAAGATGAGCCCTAACAAACTTGTTATCATGGTCATATTTCTTTATTTCAGATTCATTAACAATGATAGTAGGCGTACTCTACCTAGTATTAGAATTTTTATCCCCAACAACAGGAGTACTAGGAATTTCAATCATAGCATTGGTTTGTTCAATAGGTTTTGGAGCATCCTTAAACGGAACATAATCAACTTCTACTTGTTCAAAAGCAATCAACATTCTTTGTGACCATCTCTTATAGTTAGTACTATCAAGAGACTTGACTTTAGACAGATCTAAGTATAAAAGAGTTTAAGAATTGCAAGCCATGATATCAACAATAAAAAGTACTATTTCGCTTCTAAATTGTTGGTAAATAACTGTTGAAATTAATAATAAATAAACAATTAGAACTTTCATGGATTGATGATCTCAAACTCACAGTCGCGCCGCGGAACAGAATCCACTGCCTTAGAAGCGAAATACGCTACCACCAGTAAAAGTTTCCTAGTGACGCACTCCCCCCAAGTTTAACGTAACTCTCCTCGTAATTCGTGCACCCGAACCCGAAGATTGGAATTACTCAAGAATTGTTCAGATCTCAAAGGGTAAGTTTGTGTTTGTGTGTTTAGGTTTTCAATAATGAAAATAACATACATTAGACTTTGGGGATAGGAGAGTATTTATAGTAGAAGAAAGGAAAAGAAACAAATCAAGTTAAAAGGCCTTCCATGCAAGCCCACGTGCAGCCGACGAGCTAATCGCTCGGCCTTGCCGTAGGCAACTCAGGGCAGCGACCTGTCGCTCGCTTGTATGCGAGCTATCACTCGGTCCTAACGCAAGCAACACAGGCAGCGAACTATTGTTCGGTGACGAGTGAGCTATCGCTTGGCCCTATCGCAAGCAACATAGGCAGCGAGCTCTCACTCGGCCTTGTCGCAAGCAACACTCGGCAGCGAACTAGAGCTCACTCCTACACGAGCTCCAGCTCACCCTTATCGCACACAAACTAGTAGCGAGCTAGAGCTCGCTCGCACGTGAGCTATAGCTCGGCCTTGCCGTAGCTATCTAGCCTTGCGAGCTTTAGATCTTTTGCTAGTTCCTTGTACACGACGTCGCTTGAAGGCTTGAACTCTGATTTGCATTACAGTAATAGAACTCCACCAAAATGATTGTTGTGAAAATAATTATCTTTTCATGAAAACATACAAGGCACAACAAAAATCAATAGCTACTTTAGTTTTCAACTACATCAGATCAACTGCTAAAACTATCTCTACAACTATCTTGTCAAACACTCAAATTTTTTCTCCAAATTATTTAGTATTTTGATCATGGGAAACCTCTAAAAGTTACTTTAAAACTTTTTCAAAAATTAGTGCCGGAACCGCTTGTCTAACCTCACTTGTTAAGCATATAAGAACACATGTCACAATTCAGTTGATCTATATTATCTAAAGAACAGTTTGCCTGTTGAGAGGCAGAATTATGTAGCCGGCATACAGTGAGTAGGTAAAGGGGAAATAATGAATATGATTAGAA